GCAGCCTAAAACTTGAACCCAATGTGTTGCTCCTCACGTATTGCAAAACATGTGTTAAATGTCATGGCTTGCGCAGTGCAGCGTGCAATAATTTTATATCACACTTTTCAGCTTGCACATTATACATTGCACTGCGCGGCTTGCAACACCTATTTTTTGCCACGCAGCTTGCACCACATACCCCAGCACATCGATTGCATCCAAATTTCGCTCCGCATTGAGTGCGCATCGAGAGTGCAAGAACCTACTGTTTGGGGTCCACGCTGGTAAACACTGCGAATGTTGCTCGTGAGCTTGTTTCGGAAACCATCAGAATTAGGCCCGGATGAAAAAACTGCCCCTTGGGACAGAATCGAGAGAAGACGCTCCCCATTCATGCTCCCCATTCATGCTCCTCCGCATCCCTCTTCCCCTCTTTCAGCTGCTAATGATCATAAGTATCTTCTCATGCTCGAACTGCCCCGCACATGATTTCTCCGCTTCCTCATCCTAGCATGCTTCCCTCCCTGAACTCATCATCCGCCACCTCGTCGTGCAATGTACAAAACCCCCTTTCCTGATTGCGGACCGCGCGATAGGGTCACTGTGGCGACCAAGGTCATCGAGGATCCCCCCGCCGGCGGGTAAAGATTCAGCGTAGTGATGCGGATGGGTGGCAGGGGCAGGAGGTCAGATATGGCCCTGAACCTCCTCCTAGATCTTGGCATCGCTCGGGCGTGTGCATCTTTCCGGCGAGGACCATCGAGGAGCATCCTGGATCATCTCGCGACACCAGCACACACGAAATCGACAAGTTTACGGGGAGTGGACGTCCGAGCGACGGCAAGTGGGAAGTTTTGTTGACGCCCCAGATCCTCACACGGGGTCCCCCGAGGCTCTTTGGAGGCCCCTCTGAAGGCCTCCAGAGGCTTCTGTTAAGTCGGGCGTGTTCCCCTACAGGAGGGCTTTTGGGCGAAAAATTAATTATATTCCAAAAATACCCCCCGCATGGGCAAAAAGAGTCAAAGGATCGTCCCGCGATTATTTTTGACTATTTTCGAATACTCTTCCTGTAGAGGGACAGGCCCGACTTAATTCTGGAGGCCGGACAGGAGCCGAACACGTACAGCCCTTGTGTAATCCAAAACCCGGATAGCAGCGCAGGCCAAGGCGCGTGGAAGACCTGTGGGAGACGCTTGCCAGGACGCTGGAAAGGATGCCTGGGAAGCTTGCAAGCTCGAGAAAGGGATCTTCGCAAGAGCTCCCAATGAGCTTCGAAGGCGCTGCGGAAAGGCTTCCAGCACGCGTATTGGGAACGAGTAGGAAAGCGCTCTCGGGACCCGCTGCCAGTTCAAGCAAGTCGCTGCGGGGATGCCTGCCCAGGAGCTTCGGGTAGGAGCTGGCGTAGCCCTGCTTGCCGGCTTCTTCTCTAACAGCCTTTTAGCTCTCGGGAAAAAAAACCTCCCCCTCTTTCGGCAGTCGAGAGGGCAGAGCTCGGCACTTCTCCGTCCCTCCTCTCCAGAGCTCCTGCCCCTTGTCCTCCTCCTCCTCCTGCTTCTGCTCATCCTCATTCTCTTCCTGCTCCTCCTCATTCTCTTCCTGCTCCTCCTCCTCCTCCTGCTCTTTCCTCCTCATCCTCCTCCTCATCCTCATCCTCATCCTCCTCCTCCTCATCCTTCTCCTCATTGGGCACGCGTTCTATAAGTGCCCTGATGTTGATCATGAGGTCTATGATGATCCCGATCTTGCGTAGGATCCAGGTAATGATCATGTGCGCTCGTGTCTCAGAGGCAGAGGCCAGGCAGGCGCAGGACAGCAGGACCACGACTATGTTTGTGACATTTGTTGGGAGGCCTGTTTGTCCTCTCGCGCCCCCGCCTGTTGCAGATGAGCTCCAGGTGGAGTTTTGGGGAGACTGGGAGTCGGATCGGAGCTCTCGGAGTAGCATTCGCTCTATAGCTGGTTCGGGGATGGCCCCTAGTTCGCCAGAGCTACGTAAATGGGGGACAATGGGTGGCATGCTCGTGCCTGTCAGAGCTATCTTTGGGTCCCCTTGGGGCCGATCCAGACGGTTTGGAGAGCTGAAAGGTTTACAGCTCGTCAGGCGCTTCGCCGCATGCCCATGTTGTCCCTTGTTGTGTCCGATGTGGTTGGGCTCGTGCAGGAAGGAGAATGCTGGTCTCACGAGCAGGCTGATGCACAGGCGACCTACGCCGACATCTGGCGCTCCGTGATGGTCATGTTCCCCGACGGAGTTGGCCGCCCGACTTCCATCTAGTGTCCGTCGCACATCTCGCCAAAGCAGTACGTCGAGAGCGCGGCCAAGGAAAACATTTCGTGGGAGTTCGTGCTGGGAAATATGTGGGCACAGTACTTCGCCAAGAGCGAAGCCCTGATCCACGCGCGGCCAAACACCACTGCCAAGTTGTTCGAGGCTCGGATCCAGGACTGTCGTCTGCAGGCGCAGTTTTGCGCTGGGGCTGCGGCTACACTGACTGCTCGCGATGCGGGTATTGGATGTCCTGAGCAGGTCCTGAGGGACTTGCGTAGGGTGGCTCCCGCTGTAGGCTTCACGGCACATTAGCTGGTTGCCAAAAGGGCCCCCGGCTTCCCAGTGCAAAGATTGCTTTGCGGCTGCCAGTACTCAGGCCAGTCTTGGGACACTGTTAGGTACCAGGTGTGAGCCGACGGCCCCAGAGAGGCCCAAGGCTAGGGCCGACGCAGGGCCCCAGAGAGCCCCATCCAATGAGATCCCAGGCCGTGCAGTTCGCCCTACCAGGGGCTCATGCTGCGGACGACGCGCAGGCCGGCGCTCACGTGCGGGGCCCGAGGAGTCGGCGCCCGATGGACAGATCGTGGAGTTCCGCGGGCGCCGCGTGTGAGCGCTCCCGTGGGCCACGGTCTGCACCTTTTGTGGCCCCATACCAGGTTCCCGGTGGCAGAGTCGCAAACTGTAGGCTGCTAGCGGATTGCCCTGGTGCGTCGGAGCACGGGCAAGCCCGTTATGAGCGGATGTATGCTATATCTCTGCTGGACGGGCTGGCCGCCACCCCAGGACGGGCACATGCTGAAGACCCGAATAGCGTTCTAATGTATAGGCCCGTGCTCCCGTCCCTCGGTTGCACGACTTGGCCTAGCGCTGGTCCTCCTCCTCCAACATTCCTGCCCCTCCACCTCTGCCTCCTCCTCCTCCTCCTCCTCCTCCTCCTCCTCCTCCTCCTCCTCCTGCTCGTCCCCCCTAGAACTCCTGCTTGAGCGTTTTTGGGGGGGGGAGGGGGACCGATCGGCGCGGGCACTCGCACCCCCCCCTCCCCCGCCCATGGAGTAGATCTTGGCTGTTTTTTGGCGCCTGTTCCGTGCAGGTGGAGCCTCCCCCATAACGGACACCCTGTTACAAACAGTCGTGTGAAGCAGAGGTCCGGAGCCAGACACCCCCCCCTCCCCCCCGCCCAATCTCGGAACGCCGAATTAAAAAAACGCTCAAATGTTTTTTTGTTGCAGCCCGCGGCTCCCGAAGTCGCGACCGCTTCCCCCCCAGGGTAGTGTTTCGTCCCGCATCCGCTCTTCCGGCTCGCGTTAAGTCGGGCCTGTCCTTCTACAGGAGGAATATTCAAAAATAGTCAAGAAATAGTCTGGGGACGATTTTTTGCATTGTTTGAATATTTGTTGACTATGTTTTATATGTCGTCCGAAATCCCCCTGTAGGGGACAGGCCCGACCGAAGGCTGGCGGGGCCCCACCGTGGCCCCCCCAGGGCCGAGCTCACCGCAAAACGAAAACACCGGCTGGAACACGAGCACCGGCAGAGATCTGGAGCGGGGGGTCGCCCCGACAGCTTCCCTGAGTCGCCCCACTGTTTCGCGTCGGTTGGGGAGCATTTCCGACACTTTTTTCAATCGGACGATCGACCTAATCATTGTGGATCCATTGCCACTCCGACAAGGTGATGTTCTCTCTCCCGTTGTTTTCCCCCGACTCCGGCCGCCAGAAAGCCAGTGATCAGGCCATCCAGGGCGAAAAACTCCCCTCAGTAGAGAAAGAAGAAACCACATGAACATAAACTTCTGGCGCTCCCCGCGGATTTCTTGGATCCGCCCCTGGCGCGCTCCGCGCGCCAGGGAGGGGGGTCCAGCGCGAATCCGAGACATCCGCGCGGAGCGCCAGAAGTTTATGTTCATGTGGTTTCTTCTTTTTCTACTGAGGGGAGTTTTTCGCCCTGGATGCATTTTGATGGCCCCAGAGGGCCTGATCACCGGCTTTCTGGCGGCCGGAGTCGGGGGAGAATGCCGGGAGAGAGAACACCACCTTGTCGGAGATCGGGCCCTGGCTATGGATCCACAGTGATTAGTTCGATCTTCCGATTGAAAAAAAGTGTCGGAAAAGGCTCCCCGACCGACGCGAAACAGTAGGGCGGCAATTTCCACCTCGGGACAGCAGGTCGGACACTGCCGCAAGAGTACGGCGGAAACAGCGACGGCGAAGCAGGGCGGAAGTGGGCATAAAAGGAGCTGGGAAAGTAGGGCGCGCGCATTTCCGCCCTACCTGGGACATTCGGCGGCGAGCCCAGGGGAGAGGGGAGAGGGGGCGGGCCTCCTCGGAAGGCGACGGGTCTTCTGAGAAGATCTGCGGTCTTCTGAGAAGTTCTGTGTCTTCGAAGGATGCTAAAGCTTTTCAGAATGCCCGAGGCCTTCCGAGCCCTCTGAGAAGGCTCGCCCCTTCTCGCTTCCCCCCCAGGCTCGCCGCCGAGACATCGCCCCCAGAACGGCTGATCAGAGTCGGGTGGGTTCCTCGCTTCCGCCGCCGCCGCCGCCGACGACGACGACAAGGACGACGAACGCGGCGATGACGACGAGGCCGACGACGACGTCGACATCGACGACGACGACGACGAAAACGACGACGAAAACGACGACGACGACGACGACGACGACGACGACGACGACGACGACGACGACGACGACGACGACGCCGCCGCCGACGACGACGACGACGACGACGTCGCTCCGCCGGGCGCCCGGGAGGCGGCCATCCGGCGGTGCAGGAGCATGTCGGCCGCGGCCACCCGGGAGGCCGCGGCCGCGGGGCCGAGGGGCCGTGGGTCGGCTGCGCGTGGCCATCGGTCGTTGACAGTAGGTATTGGAGAGGCCTGACGGCCGGTGCCGCCGACCCTGATCGAAAGGGCTAGGAGTGGGGGGAGGAAGCGGAGGAGGAGGAGGAGGAGGAGGAGGAGGAGGAGGAGGAGGAGGAGGAGCAGCGGCCGCGGCCGCGGGGTTCGAGGGTCGGCTGCGCGTGGCCATCGGTCGTTGACAGACAGTAGGTATTTCTGTTGCGCGTTCGATCGTGGACCCCTCTGCTGACGCGAAGCATCCTGCTTTCACACCGATGGCCGCCGAAGACCGTGGCGGGCCGCCGTCCAGGCCGCCGAAAGACCGCCGAAAGACCGCCGAAGACTGGGTCGGGCCCCAACGCCTGCGGCGGGGCGCGCGCCCGCTGGCCGTTTTCGGCGGTTGTTCGGCGGCCTTTCGGCGGCTTTCAGAAGCCAAGATGCATAGCGAGGGGTCCATGATCGTCTGCGTAATTTTTGGAGTTCCAGATTCCAACCTACTTTAAGCGCCTTCCCTCTTCAAGAGTCGAGCGGCTTTCCCTCTTCCCTCCTCTTCAGGGGGCGGGCGGAAGCCCAGTCTACTTCCAACGCCTTCCTGCGTCATGTTTCTACCTACTTCTTCCGAGCGATGGGTAAGAGTGACCTTTCGCCGGAGTGACCTTTGATGCGGGCACGCCAGGGTCACCAGGTGGCCGCATGCGATGCAAAAACAGCAGCTAGTGCGCTCCAGTTCGGCCTCCCCGCGGCCCCCGAACGTCATCAACACAGGCCACTCTTACCTCGGGTCGCTCTTTCGTGTAGCAGAAGGAGGGGGCGTTCGCGGTTCGGTCGATTCGGTGGCGTCGTCGTCGGTTGCGTTCGGTCGTTTCGGTTCGGTCGGGGGTTGTGCCGCTGCCGCGTCGCTGCGCCCTTCGAGGTTGCTTGCAGCCTGTCGACTTCGTTCGGTATATCGGTTTCGTCGTCGGTCCGGTCGGTTTTCGGTTCTGTTGTCGCTGTGAGCGGCCTTGGAGGAGGAGGAGGAGGAGGAGGAGGAGGAGGTTACGGTTATCGACTGCCTGAAGAACCTGCAGTCAACCCGCACAGTAAAGATGGGGACCTTCCCAAGGGTACCCTTGCATCTTTGCCCCGTCGGCCCCTCCTTGGCCACTTCCGCTGGCCGCGCCCCGCTCGAGAAGAAGCCTCGAAGCGGCACTCCAGGGCCCTTGCACCCTCATCGCGCATTCTTATGATAGGGGCCAGCCGTACCAACTACGGTGGGGGCGTTGGTTCAGGAACGTGCGCGGGAGGCTGCAGGCCCTGGAGGATTCCCTATCTGACGAGGGCAGTGGCGATATCCATGGCCGATCCACCAGTGGACATCCACAGGCTTCCAGACCCTGGATTCCTTATCTAAGTCAAGGGAGGAAAGACCACCCGGACCGGACACTTGGCGTGCGCGAAACGGCCTGGGCGTTCACCAAACAGCCCTGCCCTGTGAGACCTCTTCTCTGGGTGCGCTCACTGAACGGCCTCGCGTGTCGGGGTGGTTCTTATCGGGGTGGCTGTTCTGCCCTCCTGCCGTGGGGGTCCTCGTCCAGCGCCCCCGCCGTGCCCGCCCCGCGCGCGCGGTGCGTCGAGCTGGGCCCCCCCGAGCGGGAGCCCTGCCCCCCGCCGTGCAAGCCCCGCTGCCGCGGGAGAGGAGGGGTGCCTGGTCAAGAAGAGCTCGAAGAGCCAGCCAAGTCCCGACCCTTTCTCCCAGAGCCCCTCGCGTGGCGAACACGGTCACGCCGGACTGCTGCTCGCTAGCTTCCGGCCTCCACAGGCCCTCGCCTGCCCTCGGGACCGTCAAGCCACGATTCGCGGACCGCAGAGCTTTGAGGGGCGGCGCGGAGGAGGAGGAGCCAGGAGGGGGAAACAAAAAACACAGACACGATCACGCAAGCGATCGCCGACTCCCAGGAAGTAAAGTCAATCCGCCCACTGTAGGGTGGGCCTCCGACGGCCTCCCCCCTTTACGGGCGCGCCCCGCCCGGAAGAGTCACGGACCGCAGAGCTTTGAGGGGCGGCGCGGAGGAGCTTCGGTTCGGCTCTCCTCGGAAGCAGGGTGCACGACCTCGGCAGCCAGGTGTGTGTTTGTGTGTGCCACTGATGAGGGGCACAGCCCACGCGGAGGAGGACGGACGAGCCAGGAGGGGGAAACAAAAAGCACAGACACGATCACACAAGCAATCTTCGACCCCCAGGAAGTACAGTCGACCCGCAATGGTATGGATGGGCAGCCTTCCCAAGGGCGTCCGTGCATCCTTGCCTCCTCGGCCAATGCTTGGCCACTTTCGTTGGCCGCGACCCGCTCGAGAATCTTCGGCATGGGCTTCCAAGGCCCCTGCATCCTTATCGCGCATCATTGCTATACGGGCTGACTGCGTGGGAAAGCATGGGCAGTGGGGGGGGACGACGGGAGCACTTCGCCAACGCCCGGGGCACATCGGTACCTCGGCCCCGGGTGGATCGCGCGTGGCATTCGGCTCGTGATCTGTCTTGTTTGTTTCATCGCGAACGCCTCCATCGACGCGGCGAGCTCAGTCGTCCAGATTCTGGCCAACGTAAAGGAGGAGGAGGAGGAGGAGGAGGAGGAGGAGGAGGAGGAAAAGGAGGAAGAGGAGGAGGAGCAGAAAAGGAAAAGGGACAACAAGGAGAAGGATGATAGGATGAGGAGGCAGGGGATGAGGGCTGCAGTCCTCAGGGTGGCGCGAGCGGTCGACAGCTTCGCCCGCGCCGAGAAACAAGAGAAAGTCAGTAATTAGCCATTTTGGCTCGAGGCGCGGGCGCACGCCGCGGGGCCGCGGGAGCACCTGGCGCGGGGAGGCCCCCCCCCCCCAGGGCCCATGGCGAGCACGGCCTCGGCCTCGGCGCCCGCGGCGATGCGGCCCTTCCAGCTGGACCTGCAGCGGGAGGTGGACGTCATGCAGGCGGTCTACGCGCAGGAGCGGCGCCAGCTGGAGGGCCTGCTGCGGCAGCTGGAGGAGGAGGCGCGCCAGGTGGTGCGCAGCGCGCCGCGGGAGGAGGAGGAGGAGGCGCCGACGGCCTGCGCGGCGAGCGCGGTCCCGCTCGCGCGGCGGGTGCGCTGGCGCCTGCAGGAGGGCGCCCCGGCGCAGCCCTGGGCGCCCCGCGAGGTGGGCCTGGGCCTCGGCGTGCGGACGGCCTTCGACCTGCCGGAGTGCCCCGGCGCCCGGCTCTGCCTCGCGCTCGGGCCCGCCGAGGCTACGGGAGACGCCGCCCTGGGCGGCTCCGACGGCGCGGGGGCGCCGCCCCCGCGCTACCGATTGGCGCTGGAGGTCTCCGGCGAGGGCGCCGCGGGGCTCCTCCTGGGCGCCTCGCTGTGGCTGGAGGTCGACGGCGAGGGCCTGCCGCCCGCCTCGGCGGAGCTGCTGGGCGCCAGCGAGCTGGTGTGCGAGGGCGCGTGGCCCGCGGCCTGGCTGAGCGGCGGGCCGCCGGCGGGCGCGGTGCTCACGTGCTGCGCCGAGCTGGAACCGCGCGGGCACGAGCCCCCGGCGCTCCAGCTGGAGTCGGCGTGGCCGGGCGCTGGCGGGGCCGCCGAGGAGGCCCCTGGGCAGTGGGTCCTGCAGCGGGGCGGCGGCGGAGCGGAGGGCGCTTTGGGCTGAGCTGCCGGCGCGACACGCCGCGGGGCAGAAAAAAAGAGGAGGAGGAAAGACGAGGAGGAGGAGGAGGAGAAGGAGGAGGAGGAGGAGGAGGAGGAGGAGGAGGAGGAGGAGGAGGAGGAGGAGGAGTAGAGGGGGAGGACACAGACCCCTTCGCGTCGTGACGAGCTCGCGACGGAGGGTGTTTCCCAGTCATCTCCTGGCGTTGAGCCCCGGTTCTGCATCCGCAGCGTGCCGCGCCTCCCTCCTCCCTCTCCCTTGTGATTTTGTCTCTCCTATCTGTCTGCTGTTGCTTCTTATGCATCTAGCTGGTACAAGAGTGCCGGTTGAGTTGAAGACGGCGGACTGCCATTCCCATCGTTCGGCGACGACGGCCTCCCACCCATGATTCTGCCATCCGCACGGCTATTCCTGACGCCCCTCGCACGTCTGCTGGGCCCGCGCCTGCCCCCCGCCCACTTCGGCACACAGTTTCGCACGGCTCGTGGCCCCAATGTGGAGTTGCGCCTGCGGCTTCAGTGGGCGCGGACGTATGTGCCCCCCCCCCCGCCCATCTCGGCGCACCCCTCACACGGCTCGTGGCCCTAGTGCGAGCTCCACCTGCGGTCCCAGTTGGCGCGGACGCATGGGGTTCCCCCGCCCATTTCGGCGCACCCCTCACACGGGTCGTGCCCCCATAGGGTGCCCCACCTACGGTCCAGTGGGCGCGGACGCATGGGGTTCCCCCTGCCAGGGTACCTTTTACAAGCCATGCGAGCCTTTACAAAAACTCGTGAATTGTCGCGCTTTGGAAGGCCAAGATGGTTTGGGAATGCCAGGATATGCCAGGTCGGTTTGGGAAAATCCAAGTCTCATGTTGCGGAAGATCCGTTTAGTTTGGGAAGGCCCCCAGTCGGTTTGGCAAGGCCTGGGAATCATGTTGCGGAAAGTCTTTTTAATTTGGGAAGACCCGGTTGGTTTGGGAAGGCCCCGGGGCCCATGTTGCGGAAGACTATGTTGGTTTGGATAACCCTGGTCGATTTGGGACGGCCAGGGACCATGTTGCGGAAGGCCCAGTACGGCATATTACGTTGGAGACCGATCGTGTTTCGGAAGGCCCAGAACGCCAGCTACGTTGGGAACCGACCATGTCGCGGAAGGCCTGGTACGGCGTCCAAGTTGGGAGCCGACCACGTTGCAGAAGGCCCGGTACGGCGTCTACATTGGAAGCTGATCATGTTGCGGAAGGCCCGGTACGGCGTCTACGTTGAGAACCGGCCGTGTTGCGGAAGGCCGGGTACGGCGTCACGTTGGAGGCCGACCATGTTGCGGAAGGCCCGGTACGGAGTCCACATTTGGAAGTTGACAATGTTGCGAAAGGCCAGGCACGGCAACTGGGAACCGACCGTGTTGCGGATGGCCCAGTACGGAGTTCATGCTGGGAGCTGACCGTTTCGCGAAAGGCCTGGTAACGCGTCTACGTTGGAAGCCCCGTTTAGTTGGCAGGCGGTTCGGTCGGGAGGACCCTAGCGGGCGGGTGAGTCGGGTTGGGCGGGACATTCAGTTTAGAGTAGTCTGCACTCCATTCATGAGGACATTCTTGCAGGCGACGACGAGGGTGGCTAGGACGTCGACGAAGACGACGACGACGACGACGACGACGACGACGACGACGACGACGACGACGACGACGACGACTGCGACAAAGATGACGAATGCGGTGATGACGACGAGGCCGACGACGACGACATCGACGACGACGACGACGAAACCGACGACGACGACGACGACGACGACGACGACGACGACGGCGGTTGAACGCCGACGACGGCGCCGGGTATTTCACTGCGTACGCACGGCGCGCTGGAGCGTGGATTTTCCCCAGGCAGTATTTGCACGCAGGGGCTTCCTGCCTCCTCTCCCGAGGAACGAGCCGGGCCCGCCTGCGGGCCCGGCTGCCCCGTTCTCGTCCGCTGCCGCCCTGCGGTTCACAGCAAGGGGCCCCATAATTGGGTGGGCCGGGCGGCCCCGCTGTCGTCCGCTGCCGCCCGGCGCGGCCGCTCCGCTGCGCACCCCCTCCGGCTGCACTGCACTCGCACTGCAGTGCGCTGCAGTCGCGCTGCGTCGCTTCGCATCGCAGTGCACTGCAGTCGCGTGGCATCGCAGTCGCCTCGCTTTGCCTGGCAGTCGCACCGCACGGCAACCGAGCCGCCTTGCTTTGCGTGGCTCTGCTTTGCATTGTCCGGCATTGCTTTGCACTGTTCCGCAGCAAATCGCAATCGCATTGCATTTTGCGTTGCATTGCGTTGCGTTGCTTTGCATGGTCTTGCAAAGTCTTGCATGGCGTTGCATTTATTTGCATTGCTTTTCATGGCTTTGCATTGCTTTGCATTGCTTTGCATTGCTTTGCATTGCATTGCGTTGGATTGTTTTTCAGTGCGTTGCAGTGCGTTGCATGGCGTTGCATTGCACTTCATTTGTTTGCATTGCTTCGCATTGCTCTGCATTACTTTGCATTGCTCTGCGTTACTTCGAGTTGCTTTGCATGGTTTTGTATGGCTTTACATTATTTCGCATTGCTTTGAACTGCTGTGCATGGAGTTGAATTGCTTTGCATCGCAAAACATTTGTTTGCATTGCTGTACATGCTTCGCGCCACATAGTTTGCACCACATGGATTGCATCACCTAGATTGCACTACGTACATTGGTTGCACCACGCACAGACAAGAATTCACTGCTTGGGGTCCACGCTGGCGATCATGTACGCTGCACTCTGCATGTGATCGATTTCCCTCGCCTCCTTCTGCACCCCCCCTTATTTTTTCTGCTGTTGCTGATGCTTCTCCTCCGCCTCCTTCTCCTGCTCCCCCTCTAGCTGGTACTGTTCCTACTCTCGTCGGCATCTTGCCCCCCCCCCCACACACGCTGGGCATATTCTGTAGACATGTTGGCTCGAGGCACGTTGTCAATTGTGAGGCGTCGTTTCTTTGCGGTTTCGCTATCGGTATTATTCTGACACTGACAATTCCCGTTCTGATTCGAAGTATTCGTATCTTCGCTTCTGACCGACAGCTCCGCGCCTGCGTTGCTCAGCATGAGGTCCAAGTTGGCCTGGACTGAGGCTAGACGAAGCTATGATATTCCATCTGGCCTGAGAGGCCGAAGCAGAGAGAAACATTATATGTTGATGCTTTTGGGCTGTGCAGTGGTCCTAAGCCCAGAATCAATCATCTGGCGGCATCTGTCGCATGATAGGTTCCCCATCAGATTGGCATCTGTGCCACCATGCAGGCCAAGCGCTGTATTCAGACCAAGCTTGAGGCAGCGGGTTCACACTGAGCCACTCTACTTCGTCACATACCCCAAGGGTATGGCCGAGGCGGTTCTTGATGAACTACAGGAGCTGAATCTGAAGTTGTGCGAGCACTGGGAATCTCAGGGCGCACTCACTGTAGAGGCCCCTGCTAGTACTCCACATCTACGTTGCGCCAAGATGGTATTGCGCGCAGCGCGTCCACCATGGCGACTTCCGACAGAGCTTCTAGGTAATGTCTGTCCTAACGCAAGCGACGTTTATGATGCAGCAGTGCAAGTGTTGACTGCAACGAGAAGCAAACAAATGCCCTTGGATGAGCTTGGTGGGCGGATCAATGAGCTCTTACCTGGAGCATCAAAACTTTGGAGTAAAAAGCGGAGTGACTCCAGAAAAAAAGGCCGGGGTTTAGCAGCACTTCTGGAGCAAGACTCAAGACGCCAGATCGTCAGCCACAGTTTCAATGGGAGCAACGGCGTGACAGTTTTGGAGAAAACGTTGTATTTTTCAATCGCTGCGGGAACGAAGCATGCCACCACGTCCTCAGCTCCGGTGTCGAGTCTAGATGCTTTTGTTCCATTTATCTGTAAGGGCTTCGCCCCTTGCCGCCAGCCCCCTCTCTATCATAATGGGATACAACAGAGTCGCCTTGGCGCATCTGGGAACAGCATGCGGGGGCGGATGGGAGTCATCAGCGCGTATTGAAACGTTGGCGTTATCGAAGACGCCTACGGCGAATCACCGCCGCCCCCTGCCCTTTTGGAAGCGCCTATGTGTCCGACAGATGGGCTAGAGCGTGGCCAAGCTATCGGACCATGTGTTCCCCGAGTCGATTTGGAAAGGTTTCGGGGAACGCGGGGGGGAGGAAGGAGAGGAGGAGGAGGAGGAGGAGGAGGAGGAGGAGGAGGAGGAGGAAAAAGGAGAAGGGGGAAGATGCCTCTTCGGAGCCTCTTGAGGCACTCTTGGGCTCGATTGGGCCATCTTGGAACCGTCTTGGAGACCATATTGGGGCTATCTTGGGCTCTCTTGGGGCCTCTTGAGGGCCTCATGGGGCCACTTTGGGGCTTCTCGGGGGCTTCTTTGGCTGTCTTTGAGCGTTCCTGGCCCGTCTGACGCCGTCGGGAGCCGTCTTGGGGGCCTCTCTGAACCGACTTAGGGTTCTCTTGGGGCGCTTCGGGTCCGTCTTGGAGGCCAGCTTGGCCGTCTTGGAGGCCTCTTGGGCCGTCTTGGGGCCCTCTTGGAGCCCTCTTGGGGGCTTCTTGGGCCGTCATGGGGCCATCTTGGAGGCCTCGTGAGCGATTTTGGGGCTATCTTGGGGGCCGCTTCGGCCGTCTTGAGGTCTTCGGAAGGCTGGAAAGAAGCAAATGCCAAAATCCTTCAAAAACCTAACCCATGACTTTGGCCTCTTCGGGCTCTTCTTGAGGACCTCTTGGAGGCATCTTGGAGGGCTCTTGGGGGCCTCTTGGGCTGTCTTGAACCATCTTGAGGCTATCTTAGGCCGTCTTGGAGGCATCTTGGGCCATCTTGGAGGCATCTTGGGGCCATCTGAGCCGTCTTGGAGGCCATGTTGGCCGTCTTGGAGGCGTCTTGGAGGCCTTCTTGGGCCGTCTTGGAGCCGTCTGGAGCAGGACAAATCTTTGGCAACCATCTCTGGGCAAGCTGGACGATCTTTCCAGATGGCCGGCGGGATGGGCTGAAGCCCCAGGGGGAGTTCTTTTGGAAAAGGAACCAAAACCAAAACCGAAGGGGTCTAGCACGCCGGGCACCCTTGTGGCAAGCCAGCAGGGGGCGGCGGATCGAAGACGCCTACGGCGAATCACCGCCGCCCCCTGCCTTTTTGGAAGCGCCTATGTGGCCGAACGTTGAGGCCAGACCTGCCAAGCTATCGGACCATGTGTTCCCCGAGTCGGTTTGGAAAGCCTTCGGGGAACACATGGGCATCTTGAAGGTCATCTTGGCTGCCTGGAAGCCACTTTGACCCTTTCGGGCCTTCTTGGAGGACGTCTTGGAGGGCTCTTGGGCCGTCTTGGAGGCCATCTTGAGCGTTTTGGAGGCCTCTTGGGCCGTCTTGGGGGCCTCTTAGGACCGTCTTGGGTCTCTTGGGCGATCTTTGGGGGCACTTGGGCCGTCTCGGGCAGTCGGAAGGCCGAAAAAAGCAAATGCCACAATCTTCAAAAACTCATGGGAAATCAATGATTTCTGCCTTTTCGGTCCTTCCTGGAGGCCCTCTTCGAGGCCTCTGGGGCCGTCTTGGGCCATCTTAGTGCCATCTTCGACCGTCTTGGTGGGCCCCTGGCCCGCCCGACGCCGTCGGAAGCCGCTTGGGTGGCCTCTCTGAGCCGACTCGGGGCCTGGTGGTCTCTTGGGCTGTCTTGGGGTCCTTTTGGGGCCGTCTTGGGGGCCTCTTGGGCCGTTCTGGGGCCATCTTGGAGGCATCTTGTGCGATCTTTGGGGGCTCTTGGGCCGTATCGGGCCGTCGGAAGGCCGAAAAGAAGCAAATGTCAACATCCATCAAAAGACTAGGGAAAATCAGTGTTGTTGGCCTTCTCTGGCCTTCCTGGAGGCCCTTTTGGAGGCCTCTTGGGCCGTCTTGGGCCAGCTTCGGGCCAACTTCTGCCATCTTGTTGGGCTCCTGGCCCGTCTGACGCCGTCGGAAGCTGTTTGGGGGGCCTTTCTGAGCCGATTTGGGGCCCTCTCGGGGCGCTTCGGGGCCGTCTTGGAGGCCATCTTGGGCGACTTGGAGGTCTCTTGGGCCGTCTTGGGGCCGTCTTGGGGGCCTCTTGGGCCGTCATGGGGCCATCTTGGAGGCCTCGTGGGCGATCTTGGGGGCCTCTTGGGCCGTCTTGAGCCGTCGGAATGCCGAAAAGAAGCAAATGCCAAAATCCTTCAAGAACCTACGGAAAATCAATGATTTGGGCCTCTTCGGGTCCTCCTGGAGGACCTCTTGGAGGCCTCTTGGGCTGTCTTGGAGGCCTCCCGGGGGCCTCTTGGGCCGTATTGAGCCACCTTGAGGCCATCTTAGGCCGTCTTGGGTGCATCTTGGGCCGTCTTGGAGGCATCTTGGGGCCATCTTAGCCGTCTTGGAGGCCATCTTGTCCATCTTACAGGCCATCTTGAGCCATCTTGAGCGAAGAAGCCGACGAGATGGGCACCCTTGCGGGACGCGCTGGAGGCCCAGGGTGAGTTCTTTTGGGAAAAGCACCAAAACCAAAACCGAGAGGATCTGGCACGCCAGGGACCCCTGCGATGAATCGACAGGGGGCGGCGGATCGAAGACGCCTACGGCGAATCACCGCCGCCCCCTGCCCTTGTGGAAGCGCCTATGTGGCCGACAGTTGGGCTAGAGCCTGGCCAAGCTAGCGGGCCAGTTGTTCCCCGAGTCGGTTCGGAGAGCCTTCGGGGAACGCGTGGGGGAGCAAGAGGTTTGAAAGCGCTCATGTGTCCGAGCGTTGTGGCAAGAGCTCTGCCAAACTGTCGGACCATGTGTTCCCCCAACCGTTGTGGAAACCATTCGGGGAACACTTCGGGGAGGATGGCGGGGAAGATCAGGAGGAGGAGGAGGAGAAGGAAGGAAGAAGGAGGAGAAGAATGAGGAGGAACATAAGGAGGAGGAGATGAGGAGGAGGAGTCTTGGGCGTCTTGGAGGCCTCTTGGGCCGTCCTGGGGGCCTCTCAGGACCGTCTTGGGCCTCTTGGGCGATCTTTGGGCGCACTTGGGCCGTCTCGGGCCGTCGGAAGGCAGAACAAAAAAAGCAAACGCCACAATCCTTCAAACATGCATGGGAAACAGTGATTCTGGCCTTTTCGGGTCTTCTTGGAGGCCCTCTTGGAGGTCCCTGGGGCCGTCTTGGGCCATCTTAGGGCCATCTTTGGCCGTCTTGGTGGGCTCCTGGCCCTTCTGATGCCGTCGGAAGCCGTTCGGGGGGCCTCCCTGGGCCGACTTGGGGCCCTCTTGGAATGCTCCAGGGCCGTCTTGGAGGCCATCTTGGGCGTCTTAAAGGCCACCTGGGCCGTCTTGGGGGCCTCTCGGAGCCGTTTTGGGGGCCTCTTGGGCCGTTCTGGGGCCATCTTGGAGGCCTCTTGGGCGATCTTTGGGCGATCTTTGGGGGCTCTTGGGCCGTCTCGGGCCGTCGGAAGGCTGAAAAGAAGCAGATGTCAAAATCCATCAAAAGCATAAGGACAATCAGTATTTTCTGCATTTTCTGGCCTTCCTGGAGGCCCTCTTGGAGGCCTCTTGGGCAGTCTTGGGCCAGCTTCGAGCCAACTTCGGCCATCTTGGTGGGCTCCTGGCCCGTCTGACGCCGTCGGAAGCCGATTGGGAGGCCTCTTATTTAGGGGCGCTTGGGCAGTCTTGGGCCGTCGGAAAGCCGAAAAGGCGCAAATGCCGAAATCCTTCAAAAACCCAAGGACAATAAATGATTTTGGCCCTTTCGGGCCTTTCTGGAGGACGTCTGGGCTCTGGGGCTGCCTTGGAGGCCTCTTGCGGGCCTTTTGGGCCGTCGTAGACCATCTTGAGGCCATCTTGGGGCCGTCTTGGGTGCATCTTGGAGCCATCTTAGACTTCTTTGAGGCCATCTTGGTTGTCTTGGAGGCATCTTGGAGGCCATCCTGGGCCATCTTGGCCGTCTTGGAGGCCATCTTGGGCCAAGTTGGGGCAACAAAGGCATTGACGGGTGGATTTTCGGGAATCTCCCGGGACCCCGGCGTGACGGGCCGAAACCCCAGGGGGAGTTCTTTTGGACAAAAAACCAAAACGATAGGATTCGGCACGCCAGGCACCCCTTTCATAAATCAAAAGGGGGCGGCGGATCCTGGTGGCCTTCGGCCCATCCCGCCACCGTGCCTGGGTTGTGGGTCTGAGGCCTCCTGTATATGTGTTGGGGTGTCGTGGGGAGCCTCTCGGGGGCCTCTTAGAGGCGGTTTGGGCACCTATTGGGGGCCTCGTGGGCCCTCGTGCGGTATCTTTTAGGAGTTCGTAGCCTCGGGGGCGCGAAGGTGGCGCGATGTGCAATGGATCGTGGCTCCAGGGGCGCGAATGTGGCGTAATTTGCAGGGGATCGTGGCCTCGGGGGCGCGAACGTGGTGTAATTTACCAGAGATAGTGGCCTCGGGGGCGCGAATGTGGTGTAATTTGCAAGGGATCGTAGCCTCGGGGGCGCGTCTGTGGCGTAATTCCCGGGGGCTCGTGGCCCCAGAGGCGACAATGTGGTGTAATGTATCGGGGATCTTGGCTTCAGAAGCGTGAATCTGGTATATCATATAAGGGATCGTGGCTTCGGGGACGCGAACACCATGTAATTTACGGGGGATCTTGGCCTCGGGGGCGCGAACACAGTGTCATCTACAAGGGATTATTGCGTCGGGAGCGCGAATCTCATGTATTTTCACGTGTCCCACGGCCCCCTAAAATTCAGAACACGCGATCCGGGGATGCTAGCCAGGGTTCTTTTCGGCTCCCCCCTCGCGCGGACAGTAACAATTTACAGTAAGAGGCAGGAAGCAAGACTGTAACATTGGAAACTGGAAACTGGAACTGGCGCAGGGAGCAGCAAACCTAAGCCTCGCAGCCTGATGGCCCGGAAATGGGGCCGGCGGATAGAAGAATGTGCTTCTGAGCTCAAGAACTCGCTTGGAAGCAAGGCTTGGAGGACTACATGTCTACGATTGGGTGATCATCCCTTTCGCTCGCCGCAAATTGAAAGGTGCACTGCCGTCACACTTTCTCGCATGTGTAGATCACAGGATGACAGAGCAGCCCTAGGTCCCGTGTCGATGACTGATTTTGAAAAAGAAGTTGTGATCTGCATCCTCCACGACTTGGTCTGCATTGGAACTCGCGATGCAGTGACGCTTCCTGGCAAATCTGGATTCGAAGAGGTGGCTGCAAAACGGTGGTTAATGTATGTCTCAGCAGCTTGTGTAGCACGGGTTGCTGGATTATCTAGCGGCCTCCGACCTTTCTTTTACCGTGCCTCGGGGGCCTCAGGGGGGGTCTCCAAAAAGCCTCTTGTTGAGACTTCGGGTCCTTTTGGGTGGGAACTGTCCTGGGCAGTTGGCCCGAAGCACCCTCCGAGGCCAAATCGTTAAGAATCAACATCTGTTTGGCACGCCTCCGCGAGGCTCACGCGACACCCCTGGAGCGCGCGAAAGCGCACAGGAATTCAAGAAATCTGGGGTCCAGTTCCTTACGAACCCTGCTGTCCTGTCAACATTCACAACTGCATTAGCCTTGCCACGACGTGCTTAAGGCACCAAGGCGGATATTGTAAGCCGATCGAGTCTGGAATAATTTTGGACCCAATGTGCGGCATCGGTAGTAATTTGATGTCTCTTGCATTGCTCGACAAGTTTCGATCAGCGGATTTTGTTGGTAGAGATGTCGACGAGATGAGTGTGCTTGCAGCACAGAGCAATTTCGCTTCTTTGGGGTTGGACGCCACTTTTGAAATGGGATGCTCCGAAGACCTCCCCTTTGACGATAACTCCGTTGCCATGGTTGTATGTGAGCCTCCTTGGGGACTCCGTCATTTAAAGCATAGCGATATGGGGAGTAGACTGAAGGTTTGGGTGCTCGAATGGATGAGGGTCCTCAAGCCCGGCTGCCCTGCCATCATCATTACCATCTGCACCAACAGGATCGAATCTGAAGTGATCCCTCTCGTGCGGCAGAAGTTCCCGGGATCAGCTCTGGATCGGAAGTGGGCTTACGAGAACTACGGGTTCGAGCAGTGCACCTGCTACATGCTGCGCAAGGGAACGGGCCCGTGACGCTCACGAGGGGTAAGCGACTGCGCTGCGCACGCGCGCGGGCGCGAGCCCTGAGAACCCTGGGCGCACGGCGGCGGACGGAGCAGCAGCGCCCGCGCCGCGACCGAGCCGCTGCAACGCCGGAGGTGCTCCCGGGAACAGGCCGGGGAGCTGTGCAGGCCGCCTCCAGCCGCAGGCAGGCTCGCGGCGATGCAGGCCACGGCGATGCAGGTTCTGGTGCTCCTTGTGGGGACGCGTGGCTCGTGCTTTCCTACAACTCGCCGCGTCGTGCTCTCGCTCGATCCGCTCGCAGATGGGACGAACGCAGGAGAGTGTGGTTCTCGTGACTTCCTGGAAGTTGGCTCCCGAGCATCACCCTTCAAGCAACAGCGCCGTGAGCCCGGCCTGGGTGCGAAGACTGTCGGCGGCGAGCGCCGGGCACGACGGGCCCCGAGCTGGGACGCCCGACAGGCGCAGAGAGCACACGGCCGCCGCCTGGCGGAGGTGGGCCGAGCAAGTTCCGCTGCGCCCTCGGTGCATGCAGCCGCGCGCGCGCGCTCGCTCGGAGGCTCGGCACGTGCTCGGCGTCCTGCCCCCGCCCTGTCTTGCCGAAGCCGATGGTTATGGAGACGAGCAGTGCTCCGCCGCTTCTGCAGCGCCGCGGCCTTGCTGGGCGCCGCCACGTTGCGAGAGGCACGGCCGGCTGCCCTTGAACAGATGAGAGCGCTCGCTGAGGTCATGGATGGGCGCACCCAGTAGATCGACACACAAAAGGCGAGGCGAGACACAACACCAAAAAAACGGTCCTGCTGAAGCCGATACGGTAACTAGGTTCGCGTCGTGTCGACCGGCAGCGACCCCGCCGCCAGCGTTCAATGCTGAACGCTGGCGGCGGCCCAGAATCGGTCGATGCTGAACGATCTGACGCCTCGGAAACGACCGATCGGTCAAGGTGGAACGATCCCCGCGGACCGCGGGCCGCGGTGTCAGAAGCCAACGCCGTGGTCGACACGGCACGATAGGGGGCCACATGCGAACCCTACCCCTGCCCCCCACGATTTCTCAGGGGGAGGGTGGGGTTCACCTCGCTCGGGAGTGGGGCCCACCTCGCTCGGGAGCTCCCGAGCGAAGTGACCCCCACCCCCTCCCCCTCCGAAATCGTGGGGGGCAGTGGTATAGGGCTCGCACGTGGCCCCCTGCACGACCCCGCAGCAGTGGTGCCACTGGCACTGCGAGGCCCGCAGCGCTTGCCGTGCTCTTCGCGCCCCCCCCGTCGTGCCCCGGCCCCGGGGACCCAGCGCGCACCCACCCCGCCAGTCCGCGGCCCCGAGGGGGCCCCGGCGTCTCGCCGCCCTCTGGGCGTCGGGCGTTCGGCCATGGGGGGGGGGCGATGAAGGGGGGGGGGGGCATCGAGGGTTGCACGACAGGAGCCCTAAAGGGGCCCCCAGCGAGCCCCCCTAGGGCCCCGAGGGGGTACGACAGGTGCACGAGAAAGGTGCACCTCTCTCACCCCCCCCAAATGCTGTCGCCCCCCCATCTAGTGAACACCCGAGGGCAGCCCCGGCGCTTCGCGAGGGCCGGTGCCTCGCGCGGCAGGGAGCTCTGGGCCGCAGCACAGCAAGGCACCAAAGTCGGAGGAGGACAAGGTACCCATACCTTTGCCCTTCGCCCGTTTCCTCCTTTTTGGGCCTCCTGGGATGCCCTCGTCGCCACAGGTGGATTCGCCTCGAAATTCTGGTCAGAACGCACCCCAGGAGAGGTTCGGAGAGTAGCGGTATCGGTACCTTTTGGCTTCCCCATAAAGAGCGCGGGGAGTCACCACCCACTAAACCACCCCAACCCAACCCGAAGGCCCCTCAATTTGCCCTCCATTTCCAGGGGGGGGTCGGGGAACATTGAAAAAGCACATGGAACCCGTACCCCCTCCCCGAAATTCTGTTCAAATTCGGGTCTTCGGGTTGGGTTGGGGTGGTCTGGTAGGTAGTCAAGGGAGGACTGAAAAGGAAAAAGAAAAGAGGCACACTCAGACCGTGACGGCCGCCGCGTGCGTGCCGAAAGGCAGGTCAGTCCGCGCAGCGCGTGGCGAAGAGGATGGCGAGCCGCACGAGGCGAGAGGATGGGGTAACGGGAATCTGCCGCTGGCGAGCCAACCAGGGAAACTCACCAGCACTGCCAAGCTACAACAGGCCCCATATCTGGGCTGATCTCTTGACTGGTATCGGGTCCCTGCCAGTTTCGGGGGCGTGCCCACCAAAAGACATCACACTGGGCCTGCAGAGGGTACAGCAGGCACAGCTGTGAAGAAATCTCGCTGCCAGAAGCCTGAACCAAGGGCGACGCTGTGATGGATCCAGCCTCGGGCTCGGGATCGCCGATGCAGCAGCGACACGGCGCGACTGTCCGGCCCGACTTCTGGCGGCGCGCCCGAGGGGGAAGCGAGAGGGGCAGGCCTTCTACAGAAGGCGGTGGGGCTTCTGAGAAGCCCTCCGGCCGTCCGAGAAGCCACCTCTGTCTTCGGAGAAGGCTCAGAACACTGTCCGGAAGGCCAGAGGTCTTCCGAGCCTTCTGGGAAGGCCCGCCCCCGTGAACTTCCCCCCTGGACTCGCCGCCGATATTCTCGTCGTGAAAAAACACGGCGGGAGGGTGTTTTTTTGCAGTTTTCGGCCTCTGGGGGCCCTCGCTGGGCCCCAGGACCGTCAAATTACCCAAGCAAAGTTGCAGCCGGCAGGTACCCCAGACGGCCATGTGCATTTTAGTGTGCTCGTTGCAAGGGGTCCCTGGCTGTCCACAAAAAGACTGTAGCTGGCATTGAAGCCCGCCCCCTCGGACGTCCCCCTGGGCTCGCCGCTGGGTTTTCCTATGTTTTCTGTTGGGCCCAAGCACATGGTTTGTTCACGGCTGCCCGCACGGTACAGCCTCTGGGTGGCGACGATGGGTCCCAGAAGCGTGGCTTTGGAGGGGAGTGCGGCCCAGACGAACGGCGAATGCCGCACGTCTTACGCCCACTGGTGCACCATAGCCCTCAGCAGCATTCCTAAGTCGAAGCGCAACGGAGCGTGAGCCTGAGCAGGGAAGTCTGGGCCTGAGCACATCTGTGAAGCCTTGAAGTGGCGCAGCTGGTGGGGCCGTGGCGGAGCTGGGGGCTGACCCAAAAGAGGCGGCGGCGGAGGAGGAGGAAGAGAAGGCGGAGGAGGAAGAGGAGGAGGAAAAGGAGGAGGAGGAGGAAGATGATCAGCATACAGCGCCGGTTTGAATTTATGCTCCGCGTGCGGATCATGTATTAAAGATGCAGGGGTTCACCATTAAGAATTACCCCAGTGCGACCCTACCTAGACGTTGGAGCCCCTAGGAAAGCAGCATTAGTTGCTATGCTATGCTATGCTATGGCATGCTATGCTGCGCTATGCTGCGCTATGCTATGCTATGCTATGCTATGCAATGCTGCGCTGTGCTATGCAGTGCTGTGCTGTGCTGCGCTATGCTATACTATGCTATGCGATGCTGCGCTATGCTATGCTATGCGGGGCTATGCTATGATATGCTGTGCTGCGCTATGCTATGCTACGCTATGCTATGCTGTGCTCTGCTATGCTAAAACTCAGCGAAGCTAAACTGAAGGTAAGCTGAGCTAAGATAAACCTGAGCTAAGATGAAGCTAAGTTAAGCTAAGATGGAATAAGCTATGCTAAGATGAGATAAGCAACGCTAAGCTAAGGGGACGTAACTGGGGGAACCGCGGGGCGGATACTGGGGGAACCGCCCAGGGCGCTTTCCACTGCCCGGCCCCTTTAAGCCAAGAGAGTAAGAACCCTTCTAGGCAGAGCCTCGATGAGTTCATGCATAAATCTATTCATAAATTAGTCATGTATTCAAAATCCTATATGTTTAAACATCCTATGTATTAAACATTGCCCTGTAATGAGGAGGAGGAGCAGGAGGAGGACGAGGTGCGTGAAGATCGCCGGAGGGCCGGCCGAGACATTCACCGGTCTGTGCTCGCACTTCTTGGATCCTGGGAGGGGTCCGAGGACCGATCTGGAGCGGATTTTGGCCGGGCGGGCGGTACGCCGTCCTCGAGATCCGACGTCGCGAAAAAAAACAGCATGGTGCGTAGTCACGACTGGGAGCCCCAGATCATTTCAGAGGCATGTCTCGAGCCAGATCGATCTGTGAGGATCCCAGCGCCCGAAACCGAAGCCGGGCGAGAACGCCCGCTGTGAAGAGATTGCGACGCCTGGACCTCAAGGATTGCCTCCACTGGCCCTCCTCCGGGAGGAGGGGTGGTGGTTGAGTACGTAGGTTGCCGGGCCAGGTCCCCTGCCTTTCTGCAGAGCTGCGCGCAGGAACCTGGTCGTCGGCGCAGCTCTGGAGGAGTCGGCGGCACGCCTCCCGAGCGCCCTGCGCCCCGATCCGCAGGTTCCCGCCAGAAGCGGAGCCCCAGTCCCAGAAGCTAGCCGCTAAGCCCCAATCCCGGAAGCTGTTGCGCCCTGCGACCTGGCCCCCCAGGCGCGAGGAGGAGGAGGCGGAGGAGGAGGCGGAGGAGGAGGCGGAGGAGGAGGAGGAGGAGGAGGAGGAGGATGAGGAGGAGGAGGAGGAGGGAGGAGAGGAGGGGAGGAGGAGGAGGAGGAGGAGGAGGAGGAGGAGGAGGAGAGGAGGAGGAGGAGAGGGGAGGAGGGAGGAGGGAGGAGGGGAGGAGGAGGAGGAGGGAGAGGAGGGAGGAGGAGGAGGAGGAGGAGGAGGAGGAGGAGGAGGAGGAGGAGGAGGAGGAGGGAGGAGGAGGGAGGAGGAGGAGGAGGAGCAGAGGAGGAGGAGGAGGAGGAGAGGGAGGGGGAGGAGGAGGCGGAGGAGGAGGAGGAGGAGGCGGAGGAGGAGGAGGAGGCGGAGGAGGAGAGGAGGAGGAGGAGGAGGACGAGGACGAGGAGGAGGAGGAGGAGGAGGAGGAGGAGGAGGAGGAGGAGGAGGAGGAGGGAGGAGGCGCAGCAAAGCCAGGGAGGACGTGAGAGCGGGGGTGCGGCAGCGTCGAGGCCCGCGTGGCGCAGCCGGCGGCCTGAGCCCCCCCCCCCCCCGGAATTGCCAGCGCTCCCGCTCTCTTAGCGGGTGCCTTCGGGGGCCTCTTGAGACCTTGGCATCGCTCGGACGTGTGCACCTTTTCTCGGCGAGGATTCTCGAGGAGCATCCTGGATCATTGCGCCACAGAAAGCACGCGCGAAGCCGAAGAATGCGAGGGGAATGGACGTCCGAGCGGCGGCAAGAGATGGGGGTCAGTGCAGACGGGAGTCAGCCGGAGCGCCAGACTTTGCAGGATCCTGCAGGGCCATGGTTGCAATGACCCGGGCCTGCGCGCAGGATCCTGCAGGGTCTCGCGGGGCCCTGCCAAGCCTGACTGACCCGGGTTTGCACTCCCCCGTGCGGGTCCGCGCGTCCCCGAAGCCCGAGCTGGTGCCCGCGCCCGTGCATGCTGATGAAGACCGCGCTGCGGAGGCGCAGCGCGATGCGGAGGTGGACGATGAGGAGGGCCCCGAGATCCGACGTGAGCGACGCCACAGGGGGGGGGTCGTCTGCGCCAAGACTGGCGCGCAGGCTGCCCGCGTGAGGCCGCGCGTGAGCGCCCTCGCCTCCACTGCAGCGTGCCGCGCCGGCGGCCCGCGTCAGCGGCGGCGTGAGGTCGTGATACCATCTCGCGTGCGACCCCTTTCTGATCGTCGCTCGCGTGGCGAAACAGTTGCAGCATCGCGAAGAATCACGGCCAGAGCCCTGGACCGCACCTGTCTGCAGCTGTCCTCGAGCCAGGCCGATCTGCGAAGGCCCTGTGGCCCGAAGAGCAGGGTGAGAGCGACCGGTGCGAAGAGATTGCGATGCCAGAGAGAGCGTGATCCACCGCTGCTCTGCCGTGAAAAGTCCCCCCCTCACCCTCCAGAACCGAGGGCCTCCCCCCCTCCGACCCCCCCCCCCCTTTTTTCGAGCCCCTCCCCCCGCCCCCCTTCCCAGCACGGGCTTGCAACCCCCAGCGAGCCCCCCCCGGTTTTATGCCAGCAGCGGCAGAGCACGCTCTCTCCGATGCCAGGATCTCAAGGGAGCGAGGCTCAGCGTCCTCCTCCGCTATAGGCACTGCTAGATCCGAACTGAAGGCCGCCGTGCACGATGCGGTGGGGGCGTCGGTGAAGGAGCGTGCCCACGGGGCTGCAGACCCTGGATGATTCCTGAGCCGAGGAGGGCGGCGTGGACATCCATGTCCAAGGGCCGAGCCCTGATTGGAGTTCCACCGCCTTCCAGGCCCTGGTTTCCTCATCTCCAGTGGGGGGCCATGCCAAGAGACGCCCTGCTTGCCTCCAGGGTGCCCTGGGTTTTTGGGGTTTCGATGGCTTTGCGGTGGGAAGCGTGACGCTCCCACGCCAGAAACCACTGGGCGTCCTGGGGTCGCAGGGCTGGCTTTCTCGTAGAAGCTTTCTTGTGGCCGGGCTCCTGCAGTAAGGGTTCCTTCCCCGAGGCCCCCCGCCGTATGGATAGATCCCCTTGCCGGCGGCACTGGCTGGCCGCTCCGCGCCCCCCTGGGCGCCGCCTGGGCGCTGCAGGGGGGGGCCCTTGCGAGAAACACCAGGGGGAAGGGAGTGGAGGGGAGTGGCCGTGGGTGGCCCTTGGCCCTCCTCCGCCCCCCCCCCAGTGCCCCTGCCGGAGGGAGGAGAAGCTCTAAGAAGAACAACAAAAACACATAAACGTAAACTTTTGGCGCTCCGCGCGGACTTCTTGGATCCGCGCCTGGGCCCGCTGGCGGCGCCTCCGACGCCGCCCCTGGCGCGCTCCGCGCGCCGGGGAGAGGGGTCCAGCGCGAATCCAAGAAATCCGCGCGGAGCGCCAGAAGTTTATGTTTATGTGGTTGTTTCTTCGTTTCGAAGCGGTACCAACACCACCAGGGGGCCCACCTCCAGCGAGGAGGTCCACGATGCCTCCCCGAGCGGGGGGGGCTGGGGATGTCTCGAGCGAGAGGGGGGGGACCGCACCACCACCAGGGAGACCCCACCCTCGCCTCCTCGCACCTCCCCGCCCTTTTGGGTGTTGGCGTCGCCCTCCCTTGCCCCTGCTCTGCCCCTCCCCCCCCCGGTCCGCGGGCGGGGCAGAGGATAGGGGGCCAAATGCGAACCCTACCCCTACCCCCCATGATTTCTGAGGGGAAGGAGCAAGCCGACGGACTCCCCGCGGCGGCGCGTCGCGGGGAGTCCGTCGGCTTGCTCCTTCCTCCGCTCCCGCTCTCTATCGAGGCCTGGCGCCTCGTCCTCGGCGACGCGCGGGGGTGGGGCGTCCCACGGCGGCGCGCCGTGGACAATTCTCGGTTCTGCCCCGCCCAGCTCCCTCCCCCTCCTCCTCCTCCTCCTCCCTCCTCCTCCTCCTCCTCCTCCTCCTCCCTCCTCCTCCTCCTCCTCCTCCTCCTCCTCCTCCTCCTCCTCCTCCTCCTCCTCCTCCTCCTCCTCCTCGAATTCTTCCTCCTCCTCCTCCTCCTCCTCCTCCTCCTCCGCCTCCTCTCCCCTCACAGTCGAGCGTCTGGTTAAGACACCTCCTCCCGACAAGCTGGGCCAGCGCTTCTTGGCCAGCTTGCCGCAGCGCTGGCGCAGCTTCTCGAGCACGTTCGCCCCTCCAGCGTCAACCACAGACATGGGCCCAGGTTCGTCTTGTTAAGCACATGCCGGGAGGCTGGCCTAGATTTCTTCAACGATATTTTTATTGACCGTATTTTCGGCTGCATATTCCTCTCTTACCTTCACCCGTCGTCCAGCTCTCGCCCCAGGCGGGTCGGGCGTTTCGCCTGAGATTTCCTCGCTGCTCATGATCCCGAAGCTTCGAGTGTGCAAGAGCTTCACAGATGGAGCGCCGACGGTCTTCAGGAGGTGGTTCTCGCCTTGGCGCCGCGCCCATTGGTTTTAAGAGTTCGCGAGAGCTTCATGGATGGAGGGCGGGTGGTTTTCAAAGTGTGGCTCTCGCTTCAGCGCCGCGCACATTCGTTTCAACAGTTTGCACGGAGCTTCACGGATTGAGGGCGGGTGGTTTGGCAAGTTGTGGTTCTCGCCTTAGCGCCGCGCGCATTTTTTAGAACGTTCACAACAGTGTAACGGATGGAGGGCGGGTGGTTTCAAAATGTGGTTGTCCTCTCAGCGCCGCACACGTCCACCTCGAAAGTTTGCGACAGCTTAGCGGATTCGTGCGGTTGGCGTCCCAGGAATGGTGTTCTGGCACGATTTAGGATTGTCAGGGCGCAGAAGTCACGTTGAGTCGCGGTGTGGGATCTCCCAGAATGGTACCCTGGCGCGATAAGGGATCGTCAGCAAACATCCGCAATGTTTATTCGCGGCGTTGAAGTCCAAGACGAGATGCTATGGCCCGATTGAGAATTCTCAGACGTCTGTCTTCCGACGGGGCACTTCCCGTAGCGATTTGCTTCTAGAGACTTATGAAGAGACACCTTGCAATTTCGTTGATGCGTCTTGGGTTTACACTGGTCCTCCTCTTCCTCCGTCTATTTTCCTTATCAGTAATCCCTCCTTGTCGCACCCCGGGACGTTTCGGCAGGGCGGCCAGGCGCTTGGCCTGAGAAATCCTCACCATTTGTTACCACTAAGCTCATATGTTGCAAGAGGTTCGAGGAAAGAGGGGATGCGGCTTTCAGAATGAGGCTACCGCTTATTTGTCATACGGCTCTGCGAGAGCTTCACGGATGGAGACGGGGTGGTTTTCAAAATGTGGTTCTCGCCTCAGTGCCGCGCACATTTGTTGCAACAAATCGCGAGGGCTTCATGGATGGAGGGTGGGTGGTTTCAAAATGTGGTTCTCGCCTTGGCGCCGCGCGCATCCGTCTTAACAGTTTTGAAGACCTTCGCAGATGGAGTGTGGCTCCTTTTCAGCATGTGGCTCTCGCCTCAGCTCCGCTCGCAGTCGTGGTAAACATGTTACACGGGTTTCACGGATGGAGCGCGGTTCTTTCTCAAAATGTGATTCTCGCTCCAGCCAGGAAGGATCCGGTTCGGGCCGGTTCGTCGGCTGGCCGGTTCGGTTGCGCCGCCTCGGATTCAGCCGCAGGCCGGCTCGGGCCGGATCGGTTTCGGTATGGTCGGCCAGCTTGGTTCGACCAGCTCGACTCGGGCCCCCCAGGACCCCCCAGGGCCTCCCCCAGGGCCCCCCACAGGCCCCCCCCCAGGCTCCCTCCCCTCAGTGCTCCCTCCTCCCAGGGCCCTGACCACCCCCCAGGGCTCCCCCCAGGGCGCCCCCAGGGCCTTCCCCGGGGCCTTCCCCCGGACCAACCCCCAGGATCCCCCAAGGCTGAGGACCCATCGCCATCATCATCATCATCATCATCATCATCATCATCATCATCATCATCATCATCATCATCATCATCATCATCATCATCATCATCATCATCATCATCATCATCATCATCATCATCATCATCATCATCATCATCATCATCATCATCATCATCATCATCATCATCATCATCATCATCATCATCATCATCATCATCATCATCATCTCATCATCATATCATCTTCATCTTCATCTTCATCATCATCATCATCTTATCATCATAAGCATCATCATGTCATCATCATCATAATCAGTACCATCAGCATCGTCATCATCCTCAGTATCAGCATCAGCATCATCATGCCATCATCATAGTCATAATCATCATCTTCATCGCCATCATCAGCATCAGCATCAGCATCATCATCAGCATCATCATCGTTATCACCATCATCATCATCATCATAGTCATTATCATCACACGCACCATCGTCATCATCATCAGCATCATCATCACCAGTATCATCATCACAAGCATCATCGTCATCATCAGCATCAGCATCAACATCATCATCATCATCATCATCATCATCATCATCATCATCATCATCATCAGCATCACCAGCATCATCCTCGTCATCATCGTCATTCTGTATCAATGTCATCATGATTATCCTCACGCCCACTTTCCTGTGAAGGCTCACGCCTTTAGTTTGCAGGGCCACCTGAGAAGCCAGCAAAACAAGTTCAGCCACAA